ACATGCAAAATATTCTTCATGCATTTGTAATGAACAAGATACCTCTAAGTGCCTCTTTCTTTCTCTGCTCTGGCTGAGAAGATAATTCCCAAACAGCCATCTCTGCGCCCCCCACCCCCCACCATCATATGCCACTTGTTTTCCTCGCCAATTGAATCCTCGTCAGAGACTCAGCTCTCCACTCGGGGGCTAATGCCTGGAGCGACAAACAGCCAAATGGCTTTCAACGCACCATTGACGGGGGGGGCAGGCAATGGAGAGAGAGAGAGAGAGGGGGACAGAGAGTGAGAGCCTCTCCAAACTCTGGTGCTACTAGACAACCCTGAGTACCTGTAATTGTGGAGCTGCAGTGAAAAGCTTCTGCCGGCTCAAAGGCTTCTGTTTTCAGTGGCTTTAAGTGACAGTAAACTCTTTCCAGTGCCCGTCTCTGCCACTAAAAGCACTGTGGAAAATAGTGCCTGCAAAGTAAAGTGGGAGTCGTTACGAGCGCTGCAAGTCATTGGATTTGTTATCAATGTGTGCAGGTTTTTTGTTTTTTTTGTTTTTTTTGTTGTTGTTGTTTTTTATTTTAACCCTTCAGAATGGCTGGCTGTCAAAAAGACGTGCAGATATGCCATCTGCCTGTTTTGCTCTCCTTAACGCATGAACTCTGTCTGAACAGAGCTGAGTGACTAAATACGACACGGAAGGATGAGATGTAGCTGGCAGCATCAGCGACTCGGTTGAGGGGTTTACAGTCACAGGTTGACATGCGAGCCGTGTTTGCACTCATGATCTCTTAAATCGACGCTCCTGTGTGACACTGCAATAAATTGGGCCCAGAAAGTACAACAGAAATGGATGCAAAGGAAGTCTGCTCCATTGTTTTATTTCCTGGCTCCAAAGTAATATTTAAAGTCGAGGAGGGGTGGGGTGGGGGGTATTTCAGAGGAAGCCATGGGTTTTGGGAATATTTAAGTAGCTCAGCTCTCAAAGCACCTGGTGCTTCAGCTCATGTTTCAGAATGAATTGTTGAGAGAAATCTGTGTTTTTTAGCACAGTACTAAACAACTCAAAAAAAGCAAAGGTGCACCTGAATTCAGTGAATTTTATTTATTTATTTTTTGGCTTAAAAGTGGTGGCTCTGAAGTGGTGATTTGCACCGAACAAATGGATGCCTTTCTGTGTGAGGGAGGGTTTGTATGGTGGTTGCTCTAATAGCCGAGTGTATCAGCACAACGCCGTTTCTACAGGCCCCATGTTGCTCCCCTTGCAGCCATTTCCAGAGAAGTGGTGTGATACTGAAACACTCTCACCCTACCCATGTGTCATTGTATCCAGCCTCCGCTAATGATGATGGTTTATGAGTCTCCGAAGAACCCCACCACCATCACCACCCCCATTTCCAGTCTCCCAGTTATCCCTCATTAATTTCCCGTGCTGATCAGATCGACAGGCCGAAAATTCAATTTAATGACCTGCCTCTGTGCTGCGCCTAATATGATTTTACAGGCTGTTCTGGTCAGAGCCCCAGCCCAATTTACATAACGATCAGCCGTGCCAGATAGTGTTGCCCCAGCAACAGAAGAGGGGGGAGATGAGAGGAAGAGGAAGGAGGGAGGGCAGAGAGAGTAGTGGAGATTAGCGTGAAGGGGTGCGAAGAAGCATTTGGAGGAGGAAGGAGGGGAGAAAGCACAGTGCGTCTGAGGTCAGACGGGGGTTGTGAGATAATTCCTGACAGGCCAGCAAAGGTCTCTCTCCTCCTCTTCTCTCCCTCTTTTCCCGTTTCTCCCCCCTCCTCCAGAATGAAAAGAGTGACTCAGAGGCTGTGCAGAAAGCTACTGGCACCTCCTCCCTCCCCCCCTTTCACAGTCAAACAAGGTTAAGGGAGAAAATGAGTGAAGTGCAGCATCGTATAAAACGGCGGGAAGGACCTCTTCAGCCCCCACACACCTGCTGGGCCTCCACCCCTAATCTCTCAGAATCAATTAGTTCACCTCCCCCGGTCCAGTCAAACCACATTACCTTAGTGTCACATCAGAGGGTTTCACTTCACCATTCATCACCCCCACACATACCCCACCACTTCTCTTTTATTCTGCTTTCTACTTTTGTGTTCCTCTCCTATGCATCTTCCTCATCTCTTTCTATGGAAAGTGCAGATTCAAAAAAAAAAAAAAAGGAAATGGGCTTGGGCAAAATGTCTAGGGACCTTCAAGTGCGGTAGGCGGGCAGCACAGCATATCCATTTGACCAAATGCAGCACTGTAAAGTGCTCCATGTATGGTGAGCCCTCCAGTATCAGCTTACTCTGCCAGCTAATATTCTGTGGTCGATACCAAAGATGCCTCTGATAGATAGGGCCAGAGTTAACCTGTCTGCTTCAGCACGCCCTACCCCCCTCTGTATGGGCCGTAATTATGAAGTATGGACCTCATTAGGCTTTCTCCAGCCAGATGGTATTAGCATATTTCAGGCCTTAATGAAATAAGGCCTGAGCTTAATGGAGGCAGGAGAAAGGGGGAAGCAAATTTGTTCTAAGGCGGTCCCAGTTTAGTTAAGAAATACATGGTGTGTCCGGATGGACACTGCAACATTTAGTGCTATGTTATTGGCTATTCTGTTGTCTGAGGCAGGCAGTATGCTGGAAGGATGTCATTCTAATCATTTCTGTCTCTTCTCCTACAGACTGAGATTGCCAAGCGCCTCAATGCAATTCTGGCTCAGATCATGCCATTCTTGTCACAAGAGGTGAGTGTCAACCCAGCCAGCAGCATTTCAGGGATGAGACTGAGACTCATTTGTTTCACATTCTGCTGTTACTGTAGTTGTGACGATGACTATTGTGCAGATAATCTCTGGGGAACAACAGATGATTCACTGCACATAACAATGAGGAAACCCTTTTTTTTTCCCCCTTCTTTTTTTAAATTGACAGTTTTAGCCCACTAAATAATGTATTTGACTCAAACGTCAAACAACTACTGACCACTTCTAAAAATATCGCCCCTTTTCGAGCTCATCCTGTCAACATTGAGCAAATAGTCAAACATAAACACATAAATCAGTTCTTCTGAAGGAACTGGCTTTCCTGGAAAACTGAGATGAGAATTAATGCGCAAGGAAATGAAATGAAAGCAAACCTTCAAACGCCTCAAGCGGCAAACCTCCAGACAATAGATTTCAGTTTCAGTGTTCCTTTGATTCACTCTGACCTGCATTTCTATAATACATATAATACAGAGTATTTTTTTGTCTTGTTTTACCTAGTAGAAGATTCTCCTATTATGTTGAGTGCTATGTAGTACATTGATGTGTTGTTTTATTGACGATAAGTGCCATTAAATGACTATCGTGCATTATGGAGGCCCCCCCAAGCTTAAGTGTCTACTTGTCTAGATGAACCATCAGGCGGGGAACTATTCTTCTCCATCAGTGATCTAATCTTTGTTTATGTGTCCTGCAGCATCAACAGCAGGTGGCTCAGGCTGTTGAACGGGCCAAGCAGGTGACAATGACTGAGCTGAATGCTATCATCGGGGTACGTGGACTTCCCAATCTGCCTCTGACTGTGTGTATATCCCCTCTTCTTCCTTCATTTGACCCGAGACCAGAGGCAAAACTGCATACGTGAAGGAGGACCAGCATTCAGATAGAGATATGTAGATTATTGAAGCGTGCTACATTTTGCTCACGGGTGTATTTGACCTTTCTAAGCTTTGGCCGAAGTGTCGCATGTCAAGAATAACCGGGGAAAAGGGCAATAGATTCACAGGGGAAATGGGGGTGAAAAGGGGATAAAAGTAGCTTAGCATATTAATCTGCAGCAATTTTCTTTCACCCGTCTGTGGCATTTGAGTTTTTAGACTGAATGCAAACTAGTAACATCATGTCCTCTTCACTTGTACAGACTTGCCCTGGTCTCAAGTGGTTTATTATGTTTTTATTTGAGTTGACAATGTTTGCAATGTGCTGTCAGTATGGCGTTTTTTTTTTTGCTGTAATTTCTGATTGTTGGTTAACCATGACCCGTCAGCACCCAGGTTGCAGCTCCGCTCTGATTTTCCTCCTCTCAGCCAGAGTCAAAGAACATCTGATATAAAGTAACACAGTCCAGACTGGGAGATCAGATCATGGTGTTTCTCAGATTTCACTTTGGCTGCACTTTAATTAGATAAAAGGACCCAGCCAACAGGCTTACCCCTACCTCTGACCCAATAGCTCGAGGAATTAAGAGTGGTCAGGTCAGGACAAGCCATTGTGATTACAACAGAGATTACAGCAGCATGAACTTAGCAGGTACTAAGCATTTGAAAGGTGTAGTGGATAAAAGATTTCGGCAGTTGTGGAAGAATAGGGAGAACAGGAACATCTTTTTTTCCTCCCTACTGTTTACTACATTGTTCCCTGATGGTTGCCACAGCTTCTATAATTAAGTCATGTCATTTAACAAGCTTAATTTAGCTATTTATGTTGTTGCTATGGGTAAAAAGTGCAACAAGTTTGTTTGTTTGTTTGTTTGTTTGTTTATTGTCATCATAATTCAAAGTTTTCATTTCAGGCGTTATTTGTTACAATCCAATATTTAATGGAGCAAATGATTGGGACAAGCTGCAACAATGTTTTGCTTTTAATTCTTTAAAAAAGTAAGCAGAACTAAATTGTTTATTTGTAAAGCTGTTAATATGAACAGTAGGCGAATAAATCACATTGGTTAACTTAACAGTTGGAGCTTATTTCTTTAAAAAAATCAAATAAAAATCCCAGATGTTTAAATCTAGCAAGACAGTACAGGGAAACTCTTTCCCCAAAAAATCCACTCTGAAATATAGCCTGTGCACTGCCCGGATCTTGCATTTGCTTTTCTTAAAAACATACATGCGTATTTGGTTTTGATAGTCAGGTTACATAGTGATAGGAGGCTGTCGACTGAGCAGCAGATTTTAAAATTCGGTTTAGTTTAATGAGCCAGGAGCCGAGGGTAATTATCCACTATTTGCGCTTCTATGTTTTTTTTGGGGGGGTTTTTGGTTTTTTTTTCCCCAACGAAGTCCTTTCCACAACAGGAGTTGACCCTGCCTTCATTAAAGATAGGCAGGGCTAGCCTGAAACACACACACACACAATAATACACTCAGGAAAACAGGCTTAATTATAGGGTTGAAAAGATGGCAGGTGATCAATCTCCATGCCCCCACAGGGTGGGTGAGGCAGTGATGCTCTAGCGTCTCAACATTAGAGCCTCAGAAACACTCGGAGCATCAAACTCAGGGAGTGTTCACCTCAGTTGGATCAGAAAATGCATTTGAGACATGCATAAGTTAGAGATTTACCCTGCAGGCACCACCTGCTGTACTGTCAGGTTGTCATGTAAAGACAACCTGACTGTAAAGAATCCATACACACATACTGTATGGAGTACGTAACAGAACCACCCCACCCTCTCTTAATAGCTGTTAGTGACTGAGGCCAAAAACAGTTTTTCTTTCAATGTGGGCCTCACTCATAAAAACAAATCTGTTAGGTAGCATTATGCCGTAGGAAAGCTGATCGGTCAATTTTCTAGCTGGTTTGGTAGTGTAGTTTATTAAAAGTCGTTCCTAAATAAAAAGGCTAAAAATAATTAGATTAGCATAATTTTTACAGCATCATAAGACTGGTCTCTACTGGTCTCTCCCCTATTTTGCATGAGTTTTTGGCCAGAAGCAGCGTATGATTGAGTCTGATTTGACAAGTGTCAGAGGTGCAGACTCATTTCCATGTTCCTACCCTCATTTCCATGAATTTGACACAGGGCGAGATTGTAGTTGGGATAATGGTTAACAAGTCAGTTACAGCCGGTGTGCTCCTTATCACGTATCATGTAAATGCTAATCCGCAGAACACGACATAAACCTTCACAGCGTCAAGTTTTGCTGTTGTCACTCCAGTAACAGCGATCTCCTCTCCTTTGCATGTTTTATTTGGCTATGCGTATGTCTTTTATTACAGAGTAAGAGTGTCTACATTTACATAGTGTGACTACAGTGTCCAAATTTACACATGCTTTGACTTAACATCTCACAAAAGCCGGTGATGTCTTCATCCGATTTGAATTCATCACTTGGGGCTTTTTGTCGATTTAATGAGGAAAAATAAATGATTGTATTAAAAATAGCCATCAGGTGCAGCCCTACCTCTGAATCTCTGCTCTCTCCTCTGACCCAGCACCTGCACCCGCCTCGTGGCGTCTACCCAGCCTTCACGGTCAGTGTTGAGAGGAGGGTTTTGAATGATTAGCTTGCAATGAAATGTCTGTTTTTTGTGAAGGGGAATGATGCCTTTTGGAGACAAAGGACAGCTTGGGGCGTGTCAGGTTATTGTTGGCCTCTACTGTGCCCGACTCTGGTGTTGTGCATTTGACAGAACGTTATCTCTTTATTCGACGACTAACCTCAGAAATGTTACCCCCGTTCTTCCACTGCTGTATTCTGCTTCAAACATAGGTTGTAATCCAAATCTTAGAGTCTTTGTTGTGACGACCGAAGAAGATACGATGAGCTCGAAACTGTTGTAAAGCACAGAATAAGTGGGTAATGTGGCGATCATTGCCAGACTTATTAAGCCAGGGTGCCAGCTGGTTTGTGCTGGTGCTGTTGATGCTTGTTCCACCTGACAGTACTGTTCTGCAGGGAGCCAGCTTCGCCTAGTTAACTTTAATTGCCTGTTTCCTGTGGAAGTTGCCTGAGCTGCTGCGGCATTTACACATAATGAAAAAAGATAAGTGTGAAAGGAAGCCAGCTCTTTATCCATGAATATTGAATTGGAGGCAATTTATTTTCTGAAATTTTTTTTCCCCCCTCCTTTTTTTTCCTCTCTTCTCTCTCGCTCTCTGCACCTCACGACTCCCTTCCCTCGTCTCTCCTCCTCCTCCTCCTCAGCCATAGCTCGCTAATGAGGCTTCTTGATAATGATCCCTGCACGCTTTTCCTCATTAGGCACACTCAATAGGGACGTCCCTGCCTCAATCCCTCGCTCACTCTCTTTCATTCTCTTGTTATTTTCTGATTCTGCCTCTCCCTCCTTTTCTTGTTCTGGCTGCCCCTTCCTCTCTCTCTCGTTTTTTCTTTTCCCCCTTCTCACTTTTTCCCTTTTTTCACAACAAATAGGCTGCTCGGCAAAGCAGTACAATATCGATTAACAATGCCACCCCTCAGTTGCTTATATCCATTGTGCGATTTCAGGTCCAGCTCGGCATAATGAGCTGACTGAATAATGGCCAACTGCTAAATAAGCCTTTAAATGTGGGAAGTCACTAGATATACCCTTGTCTAGTTTCTCCATTTTATGTAATGAATGTATGGATGAGCTTATTGAAGTTCTGTCTAGCAAGCAGAATAGCAATCATGTTGTTTTTTTTTTTTTCCCTTTTTGGAGAGGCAGTTGATGGATGTGCTAAGTGTTATTTAACCTTGTTTTAAAGCACTTGCTTCCCTCTTGCCTGAGTGGCTATTTAACTCCTGTCTATCTACTCTCTCTCCTCTCTGGTTGCTTCTCTCACAGACACATTCAGGGCGTCATGGGAGCCGTGTGTGTTCTCCGCCGTCTCTGCTTAACAGCATTTTGCTGAAGGAGTGCATGCTTGCTTGGTTTTCCAGAGTGTTGAAAGGTTTTGAGGTTTTCAAGTGTAGACCTATTGATTTCTCTTTTTTTTTCTTTTTTTTTTAAAACTGTCCCAGCTATGATTGAAGCACAGCGGTTTGGGAGTGAACAAAAGCGTTGTATCGTTTTTGGCGACCACAGGTGACGTGTTATTGAGTCAAACACAGTTGTCAGATAAAGGTCACGTACCAAAACAATGAGCAATTTGTAAAGCTTGCAGTGATAAGCGTATCAGTGTGGTAATGAGTGCAGAGCGTGATTTTTAAAGAGAACCAGACGTGTAGAACAAACGTGAGGTCGGGGTCCTTTCAGAGGAGGAACATTATGAGTCATCTGTGTGCAAACTCTGCACGGGTTTGCTAACTTTTACATCGCTGGTGAAACAGCCTTTTTGGGGCAGTTTGTAATTCAAGTGTTGCTCAAGCCTCAAATGGTAAATATCATGTGGCTGCAGCTCCTCCTTCTTCTGATTTGCTTTCTTTAATAGGAATTTAAATTGAATATCTTTATACTCAAACACCTGTCAGTTTTTCTGGGAAGTAGTGATTGGTATTTCACACTATTTCCTGGTGGAGCTGGATCCACATGTTGGCGGAGACTTGCAGGCAGCTATTACGCATAAACTGTTTGGCTTTCAACTGAATGTCGTCAAAGCCAGCTCTAATGCAGCAGAGTGTGCTCATTCATGGATCCACTTCCCAGCCGACCCACTTGTCCTCTGTCGTGTCTCTCGTCTCTCTGCGTTTGTTTGCAGCAGCAGCAGCTTCAGGCTCAGCACCTCTCTCACGCTGCCCACGGTCCCCCGGTCCAACTGCCCCCTCACCCTTCAGGCCTGCAGCCACCCGGCATCCCCCCCGTGACGGGCGCTGGCTCCGGCCTGCTGGCTCTAGGCGCTCTTGGCAGCCAAGCCCACCTGCCTGTGAAGGATGAGAAGAACCACCACGACCTGGAGCACCGAGGTGAGGAGCAAAGCCTGCCACACACAAACAAACACGCTGCCTATGGCATTTTAGGGATGATGGCTAACTGTAGCTGCCAAGCACTGCTTTCTCCAGCCAAATATATTAATCAGTGAAACACATCAATATAGGTTTTTAAATGTTTTTGTACCAAATGCTTGTGTGACAAAAATATTTTTATATTAGATTTTAGATGTTTTTCTTGTCAATCCCTTGATTGTGTCAGCATGAAAATAGTTTATTCTGACACAAGACAACATAAGTTGTAATCATTCCTTTACCATTAGTATTAAGGCTTTAAAATCCATTAACATATCAGCAATTGAGGTATCAGGTTAATAATTGTTGATCTTAAATATGAAAATTAAACATGTCTTCCAAGTGGTATCAAAATCAATACTGCTGAGTTGCTGATATGAGTAATCCTGGTGACACCCATACTAATTTGTGTTTTTGCTTTTCTCTCTCCTGGCCCCTCATCTTTTCACTCGCCCCTGGCCATTCCTCTGAAAGAACGCGAGTCGAGCACGGTACGTTGACTCTCCGTCTCCCGTGTGTCGCTCTCTTGCTTACTGTGTTTGGTGATTAGGTGTCTTTACATAGACGACAGCCCTTTGTTCAATAGAAACTCATGTGCGGACACACACACACACACTGCTGTAGTCACAGGGGTATAAGCTGACTGAATCAAATAATTACGTCTGGCCAAATAAGCCAGTGCCATCTAATCCAGGTGGAAAATGACTCCAATCACTGAGCAAGGATTAGTAGTCAGCAACCTCCTTTAATTTCAGCACAATTAAAAGCGACTTTGACTCTCCTTCTCTTCATCCCTAACCACCTTAAAGGATTTACTGGTTGCATGTGTCCCCTACCTGGCTCTTTACATCCCCTCTTATCTACCCGTCTCCTTTTCTTTTGCTAATTCTATTATTTTTCTGCTCTGTATTCTTATCTTAGTCATTCATTCCTTTCCAGCGCTTTTTTGATTCACCCTCCAGTCTCTCGCCGTCACAGTCTCTCTTCCTTCTCATGTTAAGGTCCTTGTTTATTGGGCTAGCTTAAAGCTCTCAGTTAGCCAGAGTGCAACGCTCTGTTGGATCTGCTTGGCCAGATTGAGTTCCCATTGACTGACCATCCTGAATGGACCCACTCATGTCTGAAGGGAACCCAAACTCGTCCCTCTTCTCATGTGGTGACGAGCGGCTGCCAACGCCACCTTACCTGATCTCCCCGCCACAGTCTTCCTCCCTCTCTTTTCCAGTTTGCGCACACAGTCTTCCTGTCCTTTTGTGTCAGGTCATCTGATACTGGAGTTGGAGGCAAGTGCAGGGTTATTGAGTCTAAGCAATCCTTGAAAGGCTTCAGACTCAGATACACAGACAGGCTGCAGTAGATTTTTATCGGTCTATCTTTGCACCAAACCAGATTAAAACTCTTCCACAACAGCAGCTGAACCTGAGGAGGAGGCCAAAAGCTGCTTGGTTAGTGTAAATGGTTGGGCAACTGTAGTGGAAGTGTATGTTATTAACTCCTCCAGCACACTTTTTTTCCCTCACACTCTCCTCAATTTAGGAGGTTTTTATCTCACTAGGTTTTCAAGCTGTTACCTTTCTATGCTGTTCTTTCTTTTTGAGTCAGCCAATATGTCAGAAACCTCCCTACTGCCTCTTTCACCAGGCCTTTCTGTCTCTGATGAAGGCAGGGATTTGTTGAGCTACCTAACAGTGTGGGCTATCCTCAGGGTGTTCTCGCCTACACTTCCTCCCTCCTTCTCCCCCTGCCTTTTGGCCTGTTTGGCAGTGCCACCCCACCACACCAGCGCCCAGACTACAAAAACCCTGTTTGCAGCTTCTGAGAGAGTGCCAGCCTGTCCGAGCATTCCCACTAGTGGGGAGGACTCATTGCCACACACTGCTATGCTCTCATTGCTTGCCAAGTTCCTTTCCTGTTTTGCTCTCTTGTCTGCCTTCATTTTCTTTTCTGTTTTTTTTTTCTTCTTCCTTTCCCCTTCATTTTCTCACTCTCTCTTTCATGGCTCTTTTCTCTGCTGGCAGCACCCTCTTTCACTTTGCTCTCTGGTCCAGGTTCCCTTAGTGGCCTCTTTCTTTACTTCCTCTTTTTTAAAAACATTAGTTCATTTTCATGAACTTTACAGTCAGTGTTTTTTCACTGTGACCTGTCACATTACAGAGATAAGCACACATACAGGAGCAGCAGCCTTAGACTTGGTTTTTGTGGTCAGTTTTGTTTTTATTTGCATGTACTTACTGTTAGGCAGTACTGTTATGAATGTGGCTTGTTGAGTTTGAGTTGGTAGCGTGTTTCTGGCTTTCTTGTGTGTGTGTGCATGCTTCAATTTTTTTTTCCTCTTTGCCTCTGCTCTTTCATCACCTTGTGTACCACTCTCCCATTGGTGTTCTCTGTGTTTATGCGCTAGCTGTTTCCTCAGTCTAGGACTGTTGTCCAGTTAGCTTTGCACCCAATAGTGTTACTGGTCTGACAAAGGAAAGGGCACTAGAGTCCTCTCTGGGTGAAAACGCACTGCTCGGTAGCATGCGCCTCTCATCAAGGTTTGTCACCTGCTGCATTTAAACTACAAAACAGTGACTTTGCTGAAGGGCACAATCTGGCAGAAAAGAGTTTGCTCTACATCACAGGCTCCACTCAACCGATAACTCCATTCATTTGCAATATTGGGTTGCCAAGACAGCAGCTTAAAGTGCTGAAAGATTGTTTCAGAGATTTATTAAAATGCAATTCTACATAATGCAACACACCGTAATGTCCTCATAGCTCTCTAATCACATATAGTTCAGGATATTTATTGTTTTAAAGAGACTAAAAGGGAACTGGAGACTGATGTGGTCTGTCTGCATGTTCTTGTTGGCAGAATAACTCAGTTTCGCCATCAGACAGCCTGCGGGCAGCAAGCGAGAAGCACCGCAGCTCATCAGACTATGGTCTCGAGTCCAAGAAACGCAAAGTGGACGACAAAGACAGCATGAGCAGATATGTGAGTGTTTGTTTACTTTCCGTCCAAATAATAAAAAATGATAATGTTTGTAGCCTGTTTCGTTTCAAAATTTACCTTTCAATTGCTAATTGCGGTTTTCCTGGAAGGGTATACCTGAGTTTATTCAGTTAGCTTAGTAATGAAACTTACTTAACGCTAAATGCAAAGTTTATTATGTGCATACTGTTTCTATCCACAGACTTATCTTCATATTAGTTAAAATTAATGCCAGGTTGCAAAGTTCTCCCAAAGACACTTCATTGAAGATGTAAATATTAGAAACTGTGACAAAGTGTTACATTTAGCATTTTGAACTTTTCTCTGTGTGCAGCAAATAACCCTGTAGCTCATTCATTCTCAGTCTTCACATCTGGTCAAGAATGTGGACCACTTTGGTTTATGCTGTAATTTTTGCCGTCCCAGTGAGCTAACCCGTTACTCCGTCATTTCAGGACAGTGATGGAGACAAAAGTGATGACTTGGTGGTGGATGTCTCCAATGAGGTAAGACTGCAATTAAACTGAGCTGCTCAGTCACATTTTTCAGTGTGAAGGCTGAACACAAAACTAAACACAGCTCTCTTTTGTCTGCCGAAGCCTCAACACCTTTCCACATTGCCAAAAAGTCTATCAAAATATTGGTTGTGTGCGATGAGTGTGTGTTTACTTGCTGTATTTCTTTTGCCACTCATGCAGAAAGTGCGACAAAGAATACAAAGAAAAAGGGGGTGACAGGTGAATGAGAAGTGCGTGCATGTGTGTGTGAGAAGGAGAATGTGAACGTGCATGAGTATATTTATCTGTGTTTGCACATGAGGCCCCGGTTTGTTTGACCTACATGTACATGCCAGTGGCTTTCCTCCAGTCTGTTTGCTCAGTCTCGCTCTCTGTCTGTCTCATTTAACTCTGTAGGATCCGGCCACCCCTCGAGTTAGCCCCGCTCACTCCCCTCCTGAAAACGGGCTGGATAAATCACGAGTCCTGAAGAAAGATGCTGCCCCCAACAGCCCCGCCTCTGTCGCCTCTTCGGGCAGCACGCCGTCCTCTAAAGCTAAGGACCACGCCCATGTGAGTGTCAGGGACATGCTGCAAGACTAGAGAGAAGCTGAAATAAGGAGGTTACAGCGGAAGGGCAGGGGAGGCTGAACTGACACACTAAAGAGCATTTGTCAAGTGAAGTGGATGTCTGTGTGAAAGACTAATACGCAGGCTTAGCAGTTAGCTGCTATGCGGGGCTTGCGAGGGCAGAGGGTAGATGCACTCTCAGGAAATCAAACCCTATGGCTCAGCCCTCTCAATCTCCTTTATGGCTTACCCAATAAATGGTCATTTCTCCCTCGGCCTCAGGCTGTAAATAACCCAGAGACACAGCAGCGGGGGAACTGCTGTCTCTGTCTTTTTATGCTGCAACTCATCTTCTCTCCTTCCAACTCCCACTTTCTCTAATACTGAAGTGTTCACTGACACGACTATGTTAGTGAAATGTTTTTTGTAAAGCTAAGGATTAGGATAGCTTTTTAATCCACATCATCTCTCTCCACCTATAATGTCACTAGGCTAAACCCCCACTTCTTCAGCCTCCCATTTGCCAAACATTGAAGGATTTGGATTAATTATAAGAGGTGTTTGGGACATCATCTTGAATGTCTAGCCACTCCTAATAAGCTTGACTTCTAAGCAAAGGTTTATATCCGTACCCCCAAACACACAAACACACACCATGGCTGTAATGGAAGTGTCAGTGTTAGATTGGATTACCTCAAGCCGTCCACTCAGATTGTCACTCTGGATTTTCCTGCCAGTGAGGGTATTTTTGACTCTGTGGGGGATTTTGAACTCTGGTATGGATGCTGTTTGTGTGCCCATGTGTATGTGCACGCACATGTGAACTTACAACTTTCAGTAATAGGATCCAAATCACACTGAGGTTAAAAGTTGAAGACTATCTCTGTTTTTTAGAATGACAAGTCATCTACGCCAAGCTTGAAGTCAAACACGCCTACACCGAGGAACGAGGCGCCGACACCTGGAACAAGCACCACTCCAGGACTACGGCCTCTAACTATGGGCAAACCGTCCGGCATGATGGAGGCATTGGGTGAGTATCTGCAAGATACTGTTGTTTGTTTTTGGGGGGGGGGTTGTAATCAAATCATCCAAATGTCACATCCAGTCATACAGGCCCACAGGCAAGCCAGCACCGACTGGTTGTTAGGAAAAATGTGTAGTTCCCAGCACCAACCACCATAACAACTAATAATTTGAATTTCAACTGAATTTGACTGGGGTCTTATTGGACCAAGGGGAAAAAAAAATCTCCTTCACATTTAAAGTTCATTTTAAAATTTGACAAAAACACCTCACCCAAAGCTGCTCCCAATTCCTAACCCCCTAACCATGTAATGTAATGCAATTTTCAATGCAACCCTGCGCTCACTGTAACAAATCATTGTTTGATGCCTAACAGAATGAATGATTCTTTCTATGAGGTTTTTATATTTATATTTATCTGGGTTTTTTTGTTTGTTTTTTGTTTTGTTTTTTCTCTCCGTCAGCCGCACCAGCCCTGCGTACCCCCCTGTCCATCGCCGGTTCTTATGCCACTCCCTTTGCCATGATGGGTCATCACGAGATGAACGGATCCCTGACGAGTCCTGGCGTGTATCCGGGTCTCATTTCCCCACAGATGAGCGCTGCAGCCGCCGCCGCCTACGGACGCTCGCCAATTGTAACTATTCCAGCTTCTATAAAGCATTTATTAGTGAAAATGAGGATTTATCACACACATCTGAATAAATAATGATTTGCCCGTTAGATAACGGCAGCCC